ATACCCTATCGTCCTGTTGAAATCCCGTAGAATTAGCTCTGAGGTCGTAACGAGCTTTCATCCGGTCACTGGCTAGCGTAATCTTACTTCTCACGGCCTTATGAATTCCCAATAATCTTTCCTTCCTAACGATTCTTTCGAACGACAGTCCAACGTTATCTTGTTCCATTTTTCCTCCAGATCGAGTACTTGGTCCTTGTCTAGCTGCGCAAATCTTACAACGTTGACACCATTTCTTAACATCTTCACAATAATCCACCCAGTAAAAACGATCTCTCAGCTTGCTCAAGGTCTTGTTTACTCCAAGATGGGCTCCAGTTCTACCACCGTGAATTTCTTCCAATACCTGGATAACTTTCTTCCTTGGTACCAGTAACTGAGTTGTTACTGTCCTGCCATCCGCACTTTCCCACGTGCGCTTTAACAATCCATTCTCAATCACCAGTGAATTCCACTGAGCCCAGAGAGCTTTGAAAACGAGCCCTCTGTCCGCAATATCCTGCAACGGTGGTCTCTCGCCGTTACCTTCCTTGAGCCGTAGTATTGCTCCGATGTCTGGATCTTCCATTTGGCCTTTCCTCAACTGTGCCGTCGTCCACTGTTCATCAGCTCCAAGCTTAAAACTCCTTATTCTGATAGTGCTTTCGCGATGTTTCATTTTCTTGTCCAAGGTAGCTCGTCGTCGATCTAGGTCGTTGTCGATAATTTGTACCCGTCCTACACGGCACCCAGAGGTTTCCTCTATTTTCTCGAACACAGTCTTCTTGGTATCACCAGGTATCATCACAATTTTCGATGATCTTTCTTCCATATTTCCTGGTCTCTTCTCTTTAGATACAGAAAATTCGTCATTTCCGATTTTCAGGATGTTTCTATGGTGATCGAACGAAAAACCATGTTGACTGATCACATCCATACCCATGATAAAATCATCTTCAATGTCTGCTAAAACGCTATGCCGAAACTTCAAATTCCCTAACTCCAGTTCTATGAAAGCCTCTCCCCGTACAACGGCCATTTCCCCCGTAACTGTACGTAAATACACTCTTCTTCTAAGAGGCATCATCTTCAATCCTTGCACTGAGTTAGTCCGCACCAACGATACCATAGCGCCTGTGTCCACAGTCATTCGAATTCTTCTACCATTGACATTCCCGTTGATCACCAAACTGTCAGCGGTTTTTCCTAGACTCCTAACGGAAAACATCATAGGGGCTCTGTTTTCTTCAGCCAATACTCGCTCATTAGTGTTGATTTCCTGGTGCCTATGTTCTCTCGATGGTAAATGGAATCGCATTTGGACGCGGCAATCCCGTTTGATGTGGCCATTCCTGCCACATCTATAGCAACTTATGTCCTGGGATCTTCCGATGTGCCGATGTTCTCTGGATGGTGAATGGAATCGCATTTGGATGCGACAATCTCGTTTGATGTGGCCATTCCTGCCGCATCCATAGCACCTCATATCCTGGAATCTTCTTTGGTTCTCTGTCTGGGTGTTGTTGACTCTCTTGTTCACTAGTAATTCACATAGTTTATTAAACATCTCCTCCAAACGTATGTGAGAACTCTTTGGCTGTTCCTCAACCGTTACCGAGCCTATCTTCGGTTTAGGAATGGCGCTAAATGCAGCTTCTATTTCCAGCGCCCTGACCAGTGCTTCGCTGCTGGTAGAAAATCGGGATATTTGCAGCGCCCTCTGCAATTCGTTGTCCCTCAGTCCGCTAATAAAGCACTGAGCAGCGAGTTCCTCCCTAAACCCTTCCGGTGCTTCTGGGTATGCTAGGTGTACCAGCCGACGTAAGTCTGCTTCAAATTCCTGCAGACTCTCTCCGGACCTCTGCAGGCGCGTCTTGATCTGGGCCTGGTAAAGTTGGCGTCGATGTTGGTCGCCATATCTTCTGTCCACTGCAGCAACTAATGTTTCGTATTCCTGCTGTTGGGCTGCAGGAATAGTTTGTAGCAATTCCAGGGCAGGGCCACGCAGCGCGATGACGAGTGCCGCTGCTTTCTCCTGGTCAGTCCATCCGTTGGCAGCAGCGGCTGCTTCAAACTGGCGGTGGTACATTGTCCAAGTAGTTTGTCCATCATAGATCGGGGCCTTAAGGTTCGCTGTTCCTTGAACGCCAGGTGTTCTTACTTGTGCCTTGGTCTTCTGTAGGTCCATCTCTAATTTTTCCATTTTCTGCTGAAGGCGTTCCTCCAGATCTTCTACGACTTCTTGGAAATGGTTCTCCTGTCGTTTTTCCAGGTCTTCAAAATTCTTCTGTAGTCGAAATTCCTGATTTTCTAAAGTTTTCTTAAGACGGTCCTGATCTTCTTGTCTTTCTTTTGGCGGCGCGTTTCTATATCTTCTAAAATTTCCCTCCATTCATTCTTCTGACGACTTTCTAAATTGCCTAAAATTTTCTCAAGCCGGTCCTGTTCTTCTTCTTTGTCTTGTTGTCGTTGAATTTTCATATCTTCTAAAATTTTCTCAAGCCGGTCCTGTTCTTCTTCTTTTGTCTTGTTGTCGTTGAATTTTCAAATCTTCGAAAATTTTGTCTTGATTTTCCAGAATTTTCAGAAGGCGGTCTTGTTCTTCTGCTTTCTCTTTCGCAGCTTCTCTTGTTCTTCTGCCTTTTCTCTTCTCATATTCTCCATAAAATCGCCTAATAGTTTGCTTACTTCCTCCATTTTCTTCGCTTGCTCCCTTGTACCAACCATAAAAATACTCTAATCCGGTCTAACAATCTTCCAATCCACTTAATTTCTTCTTAAAATCCTCTTGAATCGCACTTCCGACACCAATTGTTACGGATTCCGTGGGTCCACTAATTTAAACTCACGATAAAATACTTAACGAATTTATTTTCTCACTTTATACACAATTACTAACTTATAACACACAACAAACTAACTATTTATAAGATTCCTTCACCAAATTGTCCAGATTTTCAATTTCCACGCGGTATATTCAAATTTCAAAAACTCCCTCAGTTGTCGATGGCTCCGGCTTATATACTCTATTGACTGCTTCTCGAAATTTCCCCAATTCTCGGAAAGCGTACTTCTTCATACCAGACAATTCCATTGTCTGATTCCCTTACTTCTCGACTTGACTAAAAGATGGCGCCTGAAAAAGTCTTTTAATTTCTGGCGGATACGTTGCGGTTGTGCAGGCAACCAGTAATACATTTTTAATTTCTGGCGGATACGCCATTTTTCTTGACAATATTGATATTCGTTCGAAGTGGCTAAATGTATTTTTTATATAATTTAATTTTTATGACAGTAAACATTCAATTTATTGTTCAAATATACCAAGTGACATTGAAAATAGAACACCCACTAAAAATTGTTTAATTTTAATAATCTACATGAATGTAGGTTGATAAAAGGCGTAAATGATCAAAATTTGGAGTGAAAATATTGGCTCGTAACCTTGTCCTTGTTAATAATGTGTTGGACCACCTCGATGTTCTCTACATTCGTTGAGCCGTCTGTGCATGGAACTAATCAGATGATTTATGTCTTCTTGCGGTATTTCATCCCATGCTAACTGTATCTCATGCCGAATAGCTTCTAGTGTCTGAGGAGGATGCGGTAAGTTTGTCAGTCTCTTACCCATGATATCCCATACATGTTCAATTGGTGAGAGATCTGGAGATCTTGGTGGCCAGGGTAGGAGATTAACTTGGGCATTATGTAAGTGGTTCACAGTTAATCTAGCAACATGGGGACGGGCATTATCTTGTTGAAATATAGGATCGTGGAGCGTTCGTAAGTATGGTAAGAAATGATCTTCCACAATTTTCTCAATATAGCGTTGGACTGTCATATTACCTCGAACAAATACTAGAGGTGACCTGCTACCATATGCGATTGCTCCCCAAACCATAACTCCTACAACTTGGTTTACGTGCCTCTCCATGAAAAACTGTGGATTCCGCCTATCTCCGCGGTATCTTCTCACTAGCGCCCGACCGTCGTGCATTCCCAAACAGAATCGCGACTCATCACTAAAAACGATAGCATTCCATTCTGTGCCCCATTCTTGTCGGGCTCTGCAGCACTCTAGACGTTGTCGTCGATGTTCAGGGGTCAATGGTAAAACCCAATGAGGCCGAAAAGAAAACAGCCCAAAAGACCGTATTCGTCGGTAAACAGTTCCCATCGTGATGAGTCTTTCGTGTTTCGTAAACCATTGGGTAGCAATTGCTCGGGAAGTGGCCGAACGGTCTCTGACAGCTAATTGCCTTAAACAGCGATCTTGACCTTCAGTGGTTAATCTAAGACGCCCTGTACCTCTGGCACGATGTTCACGGTGTTGTTAAAAGTAAGCTCTACAACAATCGGCAACAGTGCAAACTCTTCTATGGACCCTATCAGCAATCTCTCGAAATGATAATCCTGCCTCCCGAAAACCCACAATCCGACCCCTATCAAAATCACTGAGTTGTCTAAAATTGGCACGTCTACGTATTCCAGGCATTATAATAAACTCAGAAAAACACCTGAAACTACTCTGTAGCAGAATAAGTAACAAAGTGTGCGAAAGCCGGGTCTATATTGGATGATTGGAATTTGAACAAAAACATGTATAGGAAAAAACTAGTGTGTTGACGGCGTTCAAATTATAATCATTTCTTATCCATACAATAATAAACATGCTTCTATATTCATTTATTAAAAATTAAAATTAAATAATATTTAGTGGGTGTTCTATTTTCAATGTCACTTAGTATATAAGCATTTTACAAATTAAATTTTTAAAATTAATATTCAAATTTGGCGCGTGGACGCTAGGTCCTCGACAAGGATATATAGAGTAGAAGCACAATTGATTAACAAAGAAAGAAGATGAATGTAAGTTTTTAATATGTTCGCGACAGTTTCCATAGTGATTTACGTATCCACGTAAGTATATATTATGATCTAGGACAAGTATACACTAAAAAAACATGAAAGTACCGAACTAAAATAAATTATACTTTTTAGGGGATTTGGACAATACTTACACTGCACCTTAACCTGAGCCACAGTCTCCACATTACCAAGAGCACTGGCAGCCGTACAAGTATAGTTAGCAGATGCTTCTATTTTCTTGAGTTCTAGCGTGTTTTTCCCTATAGGAATATTCTCTTCCGGCGTCAGTTCTTCTGTGGCACCTTTCCGCCATTTAACAAAGGGCATGGGCGAGCCTACTGCTACGCAGGTCAAGTTCAAGTCGTCGCCTAACTTCACTTCGCTCAAAGGGGGTGGAGGGATTGAAAATGTGGGTGGTACCCGTCGGACTAAAGTAAGGAACAATGATTATAATGAAAAGCAACGTTTTTCGTTATTTTTACTTACCTTTGACGTAGAGAGTGGCAAACTTAGAGTAGTCTGTGCCTATGGAGTTTTCCGCTACACATTCGTACTTCCCGTGGTCCTTTTCTTCGCTGTTACGGATTTGGAGTGATCCTGAAACAAAATCAAAAATTAGTACTAGATTAATAAAAAAGGTTAAAAAAAATTGGCGCCGGGAGGCACGTATAGCCGCCCATACTAAAATATGTTAATATCTCGAAAACTGCGACTTTGACTGATTTTGATGTTATTACAAAGTTTGTTGTAAATATTATTCCTAATCTTAATTTGAAAATCGCGTTTCGCTAGCTACTGTAATTTTGGAGTTACGATTTTTTAAAATTTTTAACCCCCTCCCATACCCCCTTACCAACCTCTCACCCCCACCAAAAACTAATGGCCAGATTCTCGGGTGCCACAGTATTTTTGTGTCAAATTTGCTTAAAATCGGTTCAGCGGTTTTTGAGTTATCGTGTTACAGACGGACAGACGGACAGACAGACAGACACCATGAAAATATTTTGTATTTAGGTCATTTATGACCCAAATAACTCATTTTGAGTGAAATTAAAAAAACTTTTTTTTCCCGATCCTAATAGGCTAAAAAACAGTAAAATACAGATTAAACTGAGGAAGATGCTCTTCCTCTTACTGGCTTTCCAAATGTGTACAATTTACATAAAACCGTTGATTGAAAGAATTGGGAAGATACGCAACCTAATAGGCAACATCGGCTGATGTGATTTCCGCTTACGTCTCAAGTGCTGTAAGGTGAAGCCTCTACTCGTTCTGCAGCCAACGCATAAAACACTCATTTTCTCTAATTCGGCTAACGAAGGCATAATGAAGACGGTGTGGAACTGAAAGCGACAATGTTGCCATATTAAAATGTGTAATATCTGTAATACGTTTGAGGAAAAAATCTTTGGATGAAAAATCCGCGTTTATGTATTGAAAATTTGTTCATGTTAAACATAGAATAAACAACACAAATAAAAATTCTTTTATTGGTAATGAATATATCGTATGATCGAAAAAAGTCGTTTAGTTGGCTTGGAAATTACGACTATTCACATTTACCATAATATTTTCATATGAAATAACAGCGATCTACATTTCCTAGCCAACTCTTATGCCGTTCTTGGTTTAATCATATAATATTATATTAAATTGTTTAACGATAGAAAATCTGTATTATTAGCGTACTGTACCCAAAATCAGTAGATTTACGGATTAATCTGTAGGTTTGGCAACACTGTCTCTGGCAACCACCCACTCTGTCGATTGAAAGCAAAACTACGGTACATCAGAATTCTTTATCCGCTGCGCTGTAAACGACTCTCAGCAGCGGGGCAGAGCTAAACTAAATCTCGGACAGGTTTTGTGACACGAAATCGTCCATAAGGTTGCGCATCTTCTTATTTCTTCAATCAACGATAAAACCAATTATAAAATAAACAAGAAAACATGAAATAAATTCAGAAAATCCTAAGAAATATGTCAAGTGAAACGTCAAAGAAAACTGTCAAAACATAGCGTCCCATAAGACCCCCAGTTCCGTCTTTAATGCGTGAATATAACAGATATTTCCGATACAAGTGAGTTAACAGCATAATTAAGATATGCGTGTAAAAGTGTGTGTACCACACAAGTATCTTAATGGAGTTAAGTATTGTACAATAATTTATCTACGTCTAACTATAAAAAAACCTAAAAATAAATTACCTTAATACCTTTGTTCAAATAACACCATCCATGGCAATGTCAATATGACAGTAAATAATATTGATGTCACTAGTTTAAAAAATGAGCGATTCGGAAAATATTTCCTCTGACATTCAAGAAGAGGGATTCAGAGCCATTTCTGGATTGCTTTCAGCAAGATCGAAACAGAAGTATGAAAATACATACTCTAAGAATGAAAAATGGTGCACCGAAAAAAAAGTACACAACTATGAAAATGAAAAGGGACTCATAACATATTTTTCCAATTTAGTGCAAAATAAATGTTTTATAAAATATTTTTTCTCTTTAGTAGTCATCTAAACAAGGAGTGCGGTAATGAAAATGCGTGAGTTAAGAAGTTCTTAACTCACTCAAAAGGCGTGAGTTGAGAGCTTCTTAACTCACTGACGTAGATAAAAATACTTACGTCTCTTTCCTCAGTCTTTTCATTCAAAGAATGAGATTTATTGAGAATAGATTAGTAATTTTTAGATCAGATCAGTAATTAGAGAAATTTAGAAATTCTTACTTTATCCTGTATTACCTTTTTTGAAAGAAGAAAGTTTTTTTTACGGTAAAACTGTCAACGTTCTAGCTACAGCCGATAACTCTTTAGAATAACACAAGTGACTGGTTAAGTCTCCTATGTACATAAGCTTTCAAAAAGTTCTTTAATAGCTTTACCCAAAAGCGCCGAACAACTTACTAGCACACAGTGAAAGAAAAATAGAAGGAAATTTGCAGCTATGAATATTCAGCGGAATTTGAATGAAATTTTCGTCGTTGACGCTTGGAAATTTGTTTAATTTGTTATTTTTAATGACAGATTCGGAAGTTGTACGTCTTCATAAAAATTTAAAAATAGAAATACTTACTTTAATATAACTTACTGGTTATCTATATTATTGTCATAAAGAATGGAATTTTCATGTTGATGAACTAACATTTGCACGTTACTTTGAATGTAGTAGACAATGATTCAGAATTGAAACTAAAAGGATTTCGGACTTCCATTGTCTTTAATTATTTCACCTACACAACGTTTCGGTCAGATGTATCACTGACAGTTACCAAGTCATCAAATCATTCTAAAAATACTGAGCATATACAGGGTGGTCCGAACTGTATTCCGGAAACTTCAGCAGCATATTCTGCAGATAAAAATAAGTAGAAAAGTTCGTATAAATGTATGTCCCAAAATGCTTCGTTTCCGAGATACAGGGTGTAGTTCAGTCATTGGGGATTTTTGCTTGGAAAAAAGTCCGGAAGTTTTGCAACTTTGCAGGTTTATAGGTTTTGGGGTCCCTAACTAAAATCCATAAAATGCACATTTCCAGACTTGCCGCTGGCGCCGCCATCTTGCCGAGATGGCGCCCAAAATCGGTATTTTGTCAATCTCTCGAAAACTATGCGTTTTTTCACGAAAATTTGAGGAGAGCAAAATTAAAGAGAATAACATTTCCTATAAAAAAAGTTCTATGAAAATTTTCGCTAAAGTCAACCGTTTAGGCACAAAATCCCTGGAAATTTTACAATTTTGCGTAACATATGATATATTATCATTATTATGTATAGTCGATTTTCCGAAATCCAATGTCGATTAGGGTTCACTAAAACTAGTTTTAGTTTAGTTTCTTCAATTTTGTCATGAAACAGTGGCGTATCATTAATTTATGAATAATTCATATTTTAATGAGAATATATTGTACCGACGGGGATCGGAATCTCTAGCGTGCCCTTCTTAACCCCACGGTAGAGATGCCGATAGTTGTCGGTACAAATTTGCTATATGTCCTATTAATGACAGTTAAAATTATGACAACAACAATCAACACGACGCTCATTGGCCGTACGTACCGACAGCTGTCGGTAACTTACCGATACCGACGATTATACAGAATAGCGCCCCTGGGCTCATCAGGGTGGTCTCTCAATACGCCCAACTCTTCATCTTCAGCCGCCAGAGGGATATCTACAGGCAAGCCCAACTCCTCTTCATCGGATTCGTCGAGTGACACTTCAGTGACGTTGTCACAGGATTTCCCATTGCAGTATGCACAAATCATTGAACATTTTAATCCTGCTTTTCTGCATCCGCAGGCTTTACCTCAGTTGTTGGTTTTGCATTTACAGGATAAAAATGTCAATAGGGAATTTGGAGCTGGATCTTTCAACGTTGTGACTGGAGTAATGCCTGTTTTTGTTTTCTTCCAACCCCATTCTTCGGCATCTTTGGTACAACCAGACCAATGCTGAACCTGGTGGTAAATTCGCAATGAATGCTGTCCATTAGGCACGACAATTAATTATTCATAAATTAATGAGCGAATTAATGATACGCCACTGTTTCATGACAAAATTGAAGAAACTTAATTTTTAACTAGTTTTAGTGAACACTAATCGACATTTGATTTCGGAAAATCGACTATTATGTATATCATACTTTACGCAAAATTGTGCCTAAACGGTTGACTTTAGCGAAAATTTTCATATAACCTTTTTATAGGAAATTATCTTCTCTTTAATTTTGCTCTCTGCAAATTTTTGCGAAAAACGCATAGTTTTTGAGATATTTACAAAATACCGATTTTGGGCGCCATCTTGGCAAGATGGCGGCGCCGGCGGCAAGTCTGGAGATGTGCATTTTATGGATTTTAGTTAGGGACCCCAAAACCTATAAATCTACAAAGTTTCAAAACTTCCGGACTTTTTTCCAAGCAGGCCCCTTTTTTGATCCCCAATGACTGAACTAGTGTAGAAGTAACATTTTTATTTTGATTTTTCGAAATAATTTCTGAAGTAACTTCACTATTTGGATGAAAATTGGTATCTGGAAGTTTTTTTATATGAGAAATTTGATTTTGGTGTCAATATGACTCCTACTTGTAGAGGGCGCCATCTACATATCTTTTAACTGGTTTGAAGAGTAATAACTTTTCGTCTGTACCTGTATAAAACTACTGAGTAAAAAAATATACATTTACGACTTTTTTTACGTAAAAAAGGTCTCTTGGTAAAAATCGCTACATATAATGGTTTTCGAGATATTTGGAATCGAAATTATCAACCTGTCATCATTGACATAAATTTAATATGTTGACTAAATAGTTATTAAGCGGCGCGGCGGCTATACGGTAGCGACTTGCCTGCACGGTATAGTTTGCGCAAACTACAAGGAACACTGTGCGGTATCCACACGATGCAAGTAAGAGCGTACATTCATCATTATTTTTATTCTGAATTTGTGGTTCCGTTCGTGGAAATGTCAAGTGACGAATTATATTGTTTTTATTGCTTATTGTTAAAGAAAAAACAGCAAAATAAACGGTATACATTGAAGTGGAGTAAAATTTAAATAGAAAACCATTTTCTTGTACGCATCATTTTTT